TTCCCGTCTGACCTGTCTGTTGGCGCTGCACAGCTGTTGAATTCTTCAGTAGCCATGCCCTTCACATCTGGCACATCTGGCCCACACCTGAGCTAAACCAAATATTTATTTCTGTGAATTCTCTCTGGCAGGACACCTTGCAGCATATGATGTTGATGGAGATGGTGAATTTGACGTGGAAGACGCAAAGATTCTGCTAGGCAAGTATTCTGGTGTGTTGTTTGTCTGCAGGTAAGGTGGGTTTAGCGCCTGTGGCTGGTTGGTTTGTTGCTGTGCAGTATAAATTATACATTTCAGGCCAAGTTAACATTTTCCATCCATTTCATTGTTCTGGAATAACACCAGTGTGCTCAGTGTTCATAGTAGCATTATCATTTAGCAACTTTAGGGTAACAAGAATCAGGGGTGCGATTAAACTTGACCGTAGAGATCATTAGTCCCTGAAATGTTTTTAGCAGTTATTCAAAGAACTTGTAATGTAGCAACTGTCAAAACCATAGCTTCAAAACTACTTCATGAAAAAATGCTTTTACTTTAAGATTTGTGAAGCAAAATAAAAATATCAATATTTACCTAGTAAATATTACACACCATAAATAGTCACCATAATTAGCGACGAATTGCTGCCTGGCATTGTGCCAAGAGCGGAAACCCTAAACCTGTGATGTAAACTCTGCCTGTGGACTTCAGTGGCTTCTGTCATAAATTCCTAATAGTAATGACTCCATCTCACAACTCACCAGCTTCGTGAATTCATCGAAAGTAATTGTTTTACTCCGTTGAGTACGAAATCATTTTAGTCCTTTAAGGACATTATATTGGCTTCATTGTAAAGAATTAAAGTATACAATGCACGTGGGTAATGGAATGAAGTCCACTCTGAATGGAAGGTAATTGGAAGGAGGAATACTACATCTGTGGGACACTGCATTTGCTCTGGCCATCTCCATCCTCTGTCCCCGCTATGAGCTGCTTGCTCCTGTCTATGCTGGTAGATCAGCTGAGCTGAGGTCATCAGCTTGCTCCTAGGAGAATATGCCAGCTTACCTCAGGTTTACCCCTAGCTTATTATCTTCATGGCCATTTCCCTTCAGCATGTCTTTCTGTGATGTTCCTTACTCACCCTGTCAGTCTTTTATTTACCTTTCATTCCTTCTGGAGATGTTAACATTTCCGTTTTCGCCTCCTCTTTAGTCTGCTAACATTTTCCTTGCCTTCACTACTTGCCTGTGCTTGTATTTCCCCTCTGTTCCTTTCTCTCTCTCCCCTTTCCTCATCTGTTCAATGTAGGCCTGGTCAGCGATGACGATAGAGAAACCATGACCGTCTCGGAGTCTACCGACCGTTTATCAGAGGGGGGCTCAGGATGGTTTTACGAATTCCTCGTCTTTCTCTATGACATAATGACCCCTTTCGAGATACAAGAGACTGAAGAGGAGGAAGCTGAAGGGGCTGCCGGTATGTCCCAACGCCAAAGGGCTCAGGGGTGCAAGTCAACAACCGTCCTACGGAATCCCCAGAGTCCTTGCAGGAGTGCCAAAAAATGAATGGGGCACAAGTAACTATCCCCAAGAAACTGCTTCAGAGGAACAACTTCACATTGGGAAGTTCTGTGAAGGACACTGAAAGAGGGAGCTAATGATGTAGACTCATTAAGAGGACTGAAGAGATTGCTTTGTATCTGTGTTGGTGCTTTGTGTATGATAAGGGTTTTGCCTTTTGTCAAGTAATTTTTGGAGACCACTTGTAGCTAAAAGAAAATTATTTTATTCATGATCTATACTAGACAGAAAGGTACCATACTGGCTGAAGATCTGTGCGTCTGCCATGGATATGTCCAAGATTTCTAGGCAAAATTATTAATAACAGGATGTGAGTCTGTCCAAATCTGGGCGGAGTGACCCTTGTTTAGATCCAGTATTCCCTCGGTGTGGGTGTGTATCTCAGTGAGAGGCCAGAAGTTCCGACGCAAGCTCTGGTTTCCACATAACCCAAAAATATGCCAAAGCCTTCCCGGGTGTCCAGTGCTGCTTTGGATGTTCCCACATTTCGCATGCGACAGCAAGCCAGACAGGAACTCGTCATGACTTACGGCCAGCGTTCTGCTACGGTAGCTGTGTGGCGGGCTGCCGTATGCTCGGCTTCACGCTAACAACACGTGTGCATCATGGGAATTCCCCCACCCTTGATTCCCAGCATTCTCAGTGCTGTTAAACACTCACCAGCCGGAACTGGTCTGAATTTTTTAAGCTTGGTTTTCTTTTCTAATTTGTCAGATGAGGTACCAGTTGCAGAAGAAGCAGCTTCAAAAAAAGTGAAGCCGAAAGGTATTTGGCATGGTCTGTCATTGGGATGCCCTGGTCTGTGTCCAATGTTGGACTGTTTGACTGAAAGGTGTGGAGCTCCTCAACCAATCAGGAAGCCTGGTGCACTGCATGGTTTCTGATGCCCACTACCATAGTTGAATCGTTCCTGCTTGGATGTATCTGTAAAAGATATGGGCTTGTGATTAACTTCCTTGGATCTGGACCATGACTGGTCACTTGCTATTGAGGAGTTTGTGCATGGAGCTGCTGTGATGTAGTGGATGTGGAGCCAGTTGGCCATTACTAGGAGAAGTAAGTGGCCACTCTGGAACAGAAATGGCCGTGGAGACAATCATGAATGGATTCCTGTTTATTTTCTTTGGTTGAATCTATTTCACCTGATATCTCACTGCTTGTTGGCGAAACATCAGATGCATCGCACGTCTTTGCCTGGCTTGGGACATGGTGTGAAGTCGGGTTTGCTGTGAACATGCCGCAGAGCTAGAGTTCCCAGTTGTGTCTCTTCCTGTTTTCAAACCCCCCCCCCCAGACAACATGCTCATCAGAGATGTTGAGTGGAATCTAAGGGAAGCCTTGAAGCGCCAGATGTCTATTCTCCATGAGAGGGTGGAGGCCAAAAAGATTGCTAAAATAGCCCTGGCTGAAGTCCGGTCCCTGGTGGCCGAAGAAGAGAAGGCGAAACGGACTCAGGCTCTCAAAGAGAAGAGCAAAGCTGAGCCAGTTAAACCAAAGAAGAAGAAGGAGGAGAAACCTAGGAAGAAGGAGGACAAAGCAGAGAAAGCGAAGTCGAAGACTGCAAAGAAGACAGGGACCGAAAGAAGGGAAAAACCAGAGAAGGAGAAGAGAGTGCCAAGGAAAAAGGAGTCAGAGCATGACAAGAAAACGGAAAAGGCCGGTAGAGGTTTGAGGGACAAGGGAGAGAAGCTCGTCAAGACGTCTCCCAAACCTGCCCCAAAAAAGTCCCCTAAAGAATCTTCCAAACAATCGGCAAAGAAATCCCCCAAAAGGTCTGAGAAAAGGGGTGAAAAGTGATACGGCATTCACAATGACCACAAAAGCCAGAGTCATCGATGGGTCAGTGGTGATGATGAATGTGTCTGGTCTGTGAGAAGATGGACTGGGCCTCAATTCAGAAGAAGGCAGGCATCACCGATGCCTGCAGAGAGGATGGAAAAGAGTTCTCAAAGAACAAGCTGTCCTGTAAAGCCAAGTTGTAGTTCAGTGTTTAGTCATGCATGCCGCCGTCAGAGAGGTACAAGTTCATTGCAAAAGTACCTGAAAGTTTCCCGAAGTGGAATTTGGCTTTTTTTTTTACATTGGGCAGGCTGTAAAGAACTGAGCTCCCTACAATGTATAAATTCCCAAGCAAACTGCACAGTATTTTGTGTAATAATGGTATAAATTGCTTTTGACATTGTTAGAAGATACAATAAAGTTTTTTTCACAGATGCTGGTTTCTGTCTTTCATGACAAACGCATTATTTTGTGTTCAATGGTTTAAAGCCTTTTGTGGGCTCAGTTTTTTCCCATATTTGATATTGTCCCTCTAACACAGTGTTTCCCAACCCGGTCCTTAGGGAACCCGAGACAGTCCATGTTTTTGCTCCCTCCCTGCTCCCAGCCAATCAGGAACACCAAATACCTGGTATAGGTGCACTAGGAGCTGAGAGGAAGCAAAAACGTGGACTGTTGGGGGGTTCCCCGAGGACTGGGTTGGGAGACACTGCTCTAACGGGTATCCCTCAGAATGTGCCCTTTCTTCTCAACCAAGACATTAAATGAAATTAATGCACCTGGAGCAAAAGTAACTTAAGTTATGCCGTTTCCTGTTTCATCTTCGTATACTACATGGTATTTGATTCGTTAAATATTTTAACATTGCAATAAATAACTAGAAATGTCATACATTATGCAACACTAAAATAATTTCTTTTTGTAATTGAAATTTGAATTTAAAGTTGGGGTGAGATAAATATATCAAATGTATAAATGTGCCTCACGGGCTTGACATCTGAAACATTCAGGATTGAAAGACAAGCCTGTTGTGGTGTCAAGTGATGCAGGAGAAGTGGATGAGCCAGCAGCCCGAATGGGAGAAGGTAAAGCTGCAGCCGCTGTCATCTTCCGGGTCACATGTCTAGCGGGGAGGTGGGTGGTTGGCAGGGCTCCCCCTGCTGGGCATTATGGTTAGTTACATTTCTGAACTAGTCTAGAAGTGGGCAACTCCGTTTCAGATCTTCTGATACTTGGTCCCCTCTGGGGTCAAAGGTTACCAAAGGACCCTCCAGATGAAAAGATAACTCACATACTCAGAAGTCTAAATGAATGGCAGTCTGTTTCTGATATAAGCCAGTAATATAAGCCTTTAAATAAGTTTTGAGCAGATAAATAGTAAGCCACATTTTTAATCTTTATTTCAAAATAAAATACAGTCTGTAGTATCAGATATTTAAAGCACTGGGGGGTGTTTTTCGTACATGGATTACTCGTTTAGCCGGATGTAATTGTTGACGATTTGGCATGATCCTGGATCTGTTGGTTTTTCGAAACTTGCTGGATGTGTTGTCATAGCAGCACATCCAAATCCTCAAACCTGCTCTGAGCAGGTTTGTTCTATGTAAACAATGATTAGCTCACACACTTAATCAGTGTCCGTGCACGGAAATCCGTTCAGTTATGGCCTCGCCGTTCATGGATGAGCGACCAACTGCAATCGGTGCACAAATAATAAGAAGGGAATCTCAAACTGAGAGGGTTTTGTAGGATCAACAAAATCCTGTTATTGTTGCCGGATGATATTCTGTTAGAAAGATACGGCTTCAGCCGAGATGGAATATTATATCTTATAGGTTTATTAGCTGCGTATAATAGAAGTCCAGCTAGGTGAAGTCGGGCTCACAGCCACACAGACAATGGGCATCGCCTTGAGATATTTACAAGCGGCACTTTTCTGTATAATGTAGGCGATGAGGAAAATATATCAAAGGGTACAGTTTGCCAGGCAATTCACAATTGTTTTTCCTGGACACCTGCGAGTGCAGGTAATTAAAGAGGCGTTTTACGCCATTGCAGGTAATGTACACGCAATAAAATTACAGTTCTATAAAAAATTTAACTTATCCTGGATGAGCTTCACCAGCATTAACTCATCCAAGATGAGGCATCTGATCTCGGATGATTTAAGTGACGTACGGAAAATACCCCCCTGTTCTAGTTTTCAGCTCCTAAATGAGTTTCAAGAATGCAAATGTAGAATGTATACATAACGTTACACAAAACAAACAAATGCTGTTTAAACTATATACTGTATGCATTCGGGTTGTTTGAATGGCCCTGTGTCATGGGCTCCCTAAAAATATTTTTATGAATAAATGCATGTTTTAAAAACCTGGTCTACAGAAGCCGAGCCAGAACTAATACTAGATGTGGAACCAGTTGAGGAAGAGGAGGTCCAGTTGAATGTGGCAGAAGAGAAGACTGCATCAGGTGTGTGTGTGTGTGTGTGTATATATATATGTGTATATATGTGTGTGTATATATGTGTATATATGTGTGTGTATGTGTATATATATGTGTGTGTATGTGTGTATATGTGTGTATATTTGTAGTCATCATGGCCAATAGGCGTCACATGATACAATCTGCCTCAACTGCTGATGAGCACCTTGACCCTCTAAAGGCTTGTTTACGTTTTGTCCCACCTTCATATTTGCTCCAGTATTGTCTTCCTAGCTCTATCCCTCCTTCCAGACAGCCTGGATAAGTCTGTGTGTGTTGTTTGACAGAGCCCAGTCTTTTGGAGGAGCCAGAGGTTGAGGAAGAAGTAGATGCATCAGAGCCAGTTCTGGAAATAGAGGAAGAGGAAGTGGAGGCCATGCCTATAGATGACCCCGTGGGCAAGGAGACCCTACATACAGGAGCTGAGAATGATCTTCTGGAAGAAACAAGTGGTCCTGTGGAGGAGGAATCAGAAGAAGGTGATGCACCTGAGGAGGAAAATGAACAAGAATACTCTGGACCTTTGGAGGAGGGAATACAGGAAGATGATACAGCGGTTGAGCAGGAATTTACAGAAGAACCAATACAAGAAGAAGGTGCAGTGGTTGAACAGGAAGTTGAGGAAGAACCTGTAACAGTAGAGGAGGAAGGTGCAGTTGCACAGGAGGTTGAAGGTGAATATGTTCCTGTGCAGGAAATTGCTTCAGCTATAGATGACCAAATGCAGAAAGAGGAGGAATTTGCAACTGGAGTAGAAGTAGCACAAGATGAGGACATACCTGTGGAGGAGGTACAGGAAGAGGGTATACATTTAGAAGAGGAAATACAGTACTGGAAGCAACAAGCACTGGAAGAATCTGAGGTTGTAGAGGAAGAAGCACAAGAAGAAGCTGTACCTGTAGAGGAGGAAACACAGAAGGAAAGCAAAGAGGAGGAAGCACAAGCAGAAACTGTGTCTTTAGAAGAGGAATTACAAGAAGTGCTTGTACCTCAAGAGGCAGAAGTACAGAAAGAGATGGTACAGCAAGATGCTTCACCTATAGAGGAAGAGTCTGCACTTGTAGAAGATGAAATGCAGGACGAGATTGCACCTGTAGAAGAAGTAGTACTTGTAAAGGAGGAAAGGCAGGAAGCGCTTGAGCCTGCACAAGTGAAAGTACAGGATGAGGCTGTACGTGAAGAGGAAGACCTTGCACCTGTAGAAGAGGAAGTACAGGACGAGGCTGTTCTTGTAGAAGAAGAGCTTGCAGCAATAGAAGAGGAAGTACTGGATGAGACTGTACCTGAAGAGGAAGACTTTGCAGCTGTAGAAGAGGAAGTACAGGATGAGACGGTACCTGAAGAGGAAGATTTTGCAGCTGTAGAAGAGGAAGTACAGGATGAGGCTGTACCTGAAGAGGAAGACTTTGCAGCTGTAGAAGAGGAAGTACAGGATGAGACTGTACCTGTAGAGGAAGAGCTTGCACCTATAGAAGAGGAAGTACAGGATGAGACTGTACCTGTAGAGGAAGAGCTTGCACCTATAGAAGAGGAAGTACAGAATGAGGCCATACCTGTAGAGGAAGAGCTTGC